CCTTTTCTTATCCCCCGCCCCGACCCTACAGGTATAAGGCAAAAGAATATTACGAGGCACTTCCAGAGCTAAAGCTGGCCATCGATCAAATTGACAAGGGCTTCTTTTCTCCCAAGCAGCCTGACCTCTTCAAAGACTTAGTCAACATGCTATTTTATCATGACAGGTGAGTTCCCACAAGAAGATGGTGCTGTTTGGGCCATGGAACGGGGATGAGGATATCTTAAACCAACTGCAACACATGTAGATTAGCATAGATCTGTGATCTGATAAGCTAACCTAGACTTGGGAAGGAAAATTAGGTGTTCTCCAATAACAATGCAAGGAGAAGACTTAAGAATAAGACCCACAAATTTGGTATTCTTTTTCTCCTTCCACGGGTGTGCCCAACTTTCCAGTGCATCCATGTGATAACATTCTCACGTGTGGGAAGAAAGGTTGAGGGCTGGTGGAAACCCTTGTGAATAGAAGTGTCAGATTGGTAAGCCAGCCATGCCTGACATTAAGCAAAAGCGAATTTTGAATGGAATCTTAGCACACATCTATTAATGAAGCTTTTTGTCTTTTCCTTCTAATCACAAAAAAAAGGTTTAAAGTTTTTGCAGACTATGAAGCCTATGTCAAGTGTCAAGAAAAAGTCAGTCAGCTGTACATGGTGAGTACACGGCCGAGACTTACAAAGGAAACCAGTTTACAGTTCATTAAAATTTTGGTTTCTTTTTATGAAATCTAAGTAACAGGGCCCCACCAACCAATCAAAAATGGGAAGTGAGGCAGCTCTTTTCTTCAGGTTTTTCAGATCAAAACTTAACTGTTCCCAGATTCAGGCAAAGGTTGGCATTTGGCATTTCAGTTGCAGTTGTAGGTTTTTTAATATCCAAGTAAAAAGTCACAAATAATTCAATATTTATTGAGCACCCACCATGCAGTAGGCATATCCTAGAGACTAAGAGTATAAAGCGAAATTAAATACTCACTTTACCCACTCATTTATTCAACAGAGAGGCACTGGGGCATTGGGTGCCTCCATGGCAGGCACCATGCTGGGCACTGAGGCCCCAGCATGGACAAAGCCAAGGCCCCTCCAGGAGCCTATTTAGTGCCGGGGCCCTTAACCAGAAGTGCATCAGAATCACCAAGCAGTTTTTTCAAGTACAGATGCCCACCGCCCTCTAAGAGATTCTGACCCAATAGTGGGTGGGACCACTATCAGCATTTGAAAAATCTGCTAAATTGCCCAGAGATGGAAACAACTTAGGTGTCCATCATCGGATGAATAGATAAAGAAGATGTAGCACATATACAATGGAATATTACTCAGCCATAAAAAGAAACGAAATTGAGTTATTTGTAATGAGGTGGATGGACCTAGAGTCTGTCATACAGAGTGAAGTAAGTCAGAAAGAGAAAGACAAATACCATATGCTAACACACATATATGGAATTTAAGGGAAAAAAATGTCATGAAGAACCTAGGGGTAAGACAGTAATAAAGACACAGACCTATCAGAGAATGGACTTGAGGATATGGGGAGGGGGAAGGGTAAGCTGTGACAAAGCGAGAGAGAGGCGTGGACATATATACACTACCAAATGTAAGGTAGATAGATAGTGGGAAGCAGCCACATAGCACAGGGAGATCAGCTCAGTGCTTTGTGACCGCCTGGAGGGGTGGGATAGGGAGGGTGGGAGGGAGGGAGACGCAAGAGGGAAGAGATATGGGAACATATGTATATGTATAACTGATTCACTTTGTTATAAAGCAGAAACTAACACACCATTGTAAAGCAATTATACTCCAATAAAAATGTAAAAAAAAAAAAAAGAAAAAGAAAAATCTGCTAAATTGATCCTAAGGCTGAACCTTCGTTAATCGGGAAAGGACTGACCCCCCTAGTATTTGAAAATTGTAAAGTAAGTTCCTCTCCTGGATTACCCGTGGAGTGGTGCTATATGAATAGAATATAAATGTATAGAAAGAGGGGAGGTTTCACATTTGAATTTAACAAAAAGATAAAGAAAAAGGAATGAAAGAAAGAAAGAGAGAGAGAGAGAGAGAGAGGGAGGGAGGAAAGAAGGAAAGAAAGAAAAGAAAAGGAAGGAAAGGGAGAGAGAGAGAAAAAGAAAAGGGCTAGAGCCACGTGAGTAACCCTTCATGTGCAAAGTCATACATCTTTACCAAAAAGCCCAGCCCTCTAGGTACATTTAGTAAATATATGGAAAGGCGATCATCTCTGATAGGAAAGACTTGTAGGGAACTGCAGAAACCACAGAAGAACAGATACAGGAGGAGGCTGGCCCTGTGCTAAGACTCCAGCTTGGGCTTCTTGAGGTAGCCGTCCTTGCCCACACAGTCTCCATTTTGGCTCTCCAACTAGAAAGCCATTATAGAGCAGACCAGTGGGAACGCATAAACTCTCCACCTCCTGCCGTCTGGACACATCAGTAACTATTTCCGACAGAAACATACTGCCCTAACATTTCTTTCTATTCCTTTCCCAAAGCCAGGTGACAAGGTAGTTCCCATAGTCATCCCGGATATCCCATTGGGGTTTTAAAGCAGGATCACGCAAGGCCTGTGCTGCTTTACAGCATATCCAGCCCCCCAAAAGTGTATATAAACCAGAGTTTTATATACTTCCCAAGGAGAGGCAGTGCTAGATTTAAGCAGAGTGGCTCACTTCCTGCTCCCTGAACACTGAAGAGAGCAGCCACCTACATCCTCCAAGAACTCAAAGACAGAGGAAAGAAAATGGCCACCTCTAGCTCCTTCCTCTTGATCTCAACCCATGCTTGTTATGTAGAAAAGCTGTATAGGAGAAGAAACAGAAGTGAAACAGAGCAGGAAAGGAAAATATGAGTGAGGGCATGCACAAATGTGAATGTTGGTTTTGCACAATGGTCCCTTCTGTTAAAATGATGGCCCTGATCCAAAGGATGCCAACCTAGAAGGCCAGCATTCTGTTCCATCTTCCTTGTTCATTAGTGCAAACTGCAGCTTTTGCTCTTAACAATAATTGTATTGTTGAAGCGTAGAAAACATGGCCCACATGGCTGGAAAGTCTAGTCATTATCCCTTTAAATAAAGAACGTGAAGAGAGGAAGCTTTTATTCCCTTCTTATTTTAGTAAGTTTCCAAAGTCTGAATAAACTAATTTCAGACTGTGTTTTAGTTTTTCTTTTAAATGTTTATAATTCATTGCTGTTGTTTTCAAATAATATTCTGGTCATTTCCATAGAACTCCTTCTTAGAGTTCTTTACAAAATCACGAGGCTATAAGTAGATTCTCAGCTGCATAGCACAGGGAGATCAGCTTGGTGCTTTGCGACCCAACTAGAGGGGTGGGATAAGGAGGGTGGGAGGGAGACCCATCAAAAGGGAGGGGATATGGGGATATACATATGCATATAGCTGATTTCACTTTGTTATACAGCAGAAACTAACACAACATTGTAAAGCAATTATACTCCAATAAAGATGTTAATAAAAAATAAATAGCTTCTTATACTTTTTACATAAAATTATGAGAGATATCTATTTTATTTAGATATATAGATATATATTTTTTTATTTAGGATAAAACCTTAATTGGTCCTGTTTTCAAACCCCAGTGGAGTATTTGGGATTCAGTGTAAACCTATTAGAGTATCTACCTTCTGAAAAAAACAGGAAAAGAGAAGTCAGTGAATAAAGTCTCCCATGGGATTGTTTGCCTGCATGGTAGCTAATGTTCTAGAGTAGTGTCTTTCGAGCTTTGGCTGTGAGCCACGGGATAAATTTCTTACGTGGCATCTAGCAGACAATGAATGTTAGTCTCTTCCTTTCCCCTGTAGTTTAAAGGGAGATGAGGTATCTTCATTCAAAATGAAGCATGGGAAATAAGGCTTACATGCCAAAACATTGTAACTATGGCAGAAGTTACCAATTAGGGTTTCTGTAAGAGTGAAAAATACTTTCTTTTTCATTTTAGAGAAGTATAATCTAAAATAGGAGAAAAGCACAGTCTGCCCTGTCCAGCTCCCAACTGTGAAACAAATGTATTTATGATTCATTACAATTTACTCCTGTCACTTTCCCCATAAATTGTACTTGGATGTGCTTGGCCTGATGTTTGTCATACAGCTTGATGGGCACTCAGGCCCTGAGCCTTAGATGCATATTAATTTAATTTAATTCAATTAAACAAGTATAATTCTTGTTTACAGAATCCAAAGGCCTGGAACATCATGGTACTCAGAAACATAGCCGCCTCAGGGAAATTCTCCAGTGACCGAACAATTAAGGAGTACGCCCGGGACATCTGGAACATGGAGCCTTCTGACCTAAAGATTTCCCTGTCCAGTGAACCCAGCAGTGGGGTGAACAAAGCCAATGGAAAGTAAGTTGTAAAATGTCCTGAGAAAAAATAGCTTCTTACTGGACTTCAACATTTTCACAACATTCTTTGATTTTGTTTTGTTTTATTAAATAATAATCTAGTTAAGTATCTCTGGGAATTGGGAGGGAAAGTGTATGACTATATGAGGGCTAAAAATACAGTGTTAATTTCCAAAGGCTACATGAGTGCCAAATCTTACTATTTTATAGCAGATTGAATAGCATGCTAGGACTTTCCCCAATGCTATTCAGAAAGCTAGAAAACAGCTTGGAACTTTTTAATGCCATTTAAATCAACTAAAACTGAAATACAAATTATTTAACTACATTGGAGCGTCTTTCTTGCTACTGCTTGCTGTCTAGGTGCAAATCAAAAACCACCTTATCCACAGATATCCCCAGAATGTTTGGTAACTGTACATTTTTAGATGGGATTAAATTTTTACCAAATTCTGATTCTCCACAGTGAAGTTTTGGCATGTTCCACAAAGTAGACTATGACAAGCTAAACAAGAACATTCCATAATGCCCAGCATCCATGCTCTCCCTTACTAAAATGGCAAGTGACTTGTAGAAATGTCAGTAACTTCAGCTCACCCAAGCAGCCCAGTACAGTTTTACATTAAAAATATACACCACAAGTGGTGTTTGGACGAAGTCTTCGCTCTCTGCTGTACTCAGACCTCACGCCCAACTGCTGGCTCAGGAAATCTCTGCAGGAAGAGGACCTAGATGAGCTCACATGCGTTCCCCACCTCACGGTCTAAGTAAGCCAGAGCAGCCCTCATTGCATTTAGCAAAGCAAATCTTACCTCACGGTTTTTAACAGGGTGGTGCTTTTACACAGGAAGTTGTGTTGGAGGCCAGGAGGAAAGATCACCATCTTCACCCTCTCTCTGTTCCTTTATGCATTGTGTGCAATTCCATAGAGCTGCAAGGGGCAGAAAGACAAGGACTCAAAGGCTGATCATTGAAGCAGTTGTTTTCCTAGTCCAAATCTCCTAAAAGGGTATGGAAACAGCCAACTTAAGGAGTTAGTCCCATTAAGTGAGAGATAATGGGCACCCTGCATATCCCTGAGTGGTTGCCTCTACAACCAAGGAACTGAAAGCTGCACAGCTCATGGAACAGTGACAACAGTGTATTGTATACACCAGGCGGCACAGCAATTCAGGGGTGCAGAGAATCCCTTATAATGTCAGAGACCCTTCCGTAGGCCCTAATCAAAGTTTGGCTGGCTGAGAAAATGGCGAAATTAATATAGTATGTTTCTGTCAGCCACTGAACTTAGTTGACCTTTTTTCCAAATTCCAAAGGCACCGTTTTGTCACCCTCACCGTGTATGATAAGGGGAGAAGACAGGAATTTAACACTAGGAACGAGTGGAAGAAAAGCTTTCAGTTCAAGAAATATACATTGAGATTTCTCCTCTTCTAAGTTAAGGCTTTAGCAAAACATGAGGTTTGCCCCAAATAAAGGAATGCTCTTTCCATCCCTCCCAGGAATAACAACTTCATATATAATAAGCTTCATATAGTGACTTTTCTTTCCTCCAGGCAAGATTCTTCTGTTTACTCATACAATTTACTTAGCTTATTTGATTTAATTTATTCCTGCGTGATTTTTGAAAATAAGGAACAAAACCACTGAATTTGTACAGAATTAGCAGAACCTCACCTTTTCCTTATTCTGCCTTATTTCATAATATCTGGAATGTTTTCATTAAACAAAAACAAAGTAAGTCAAAACCAAAAAATAACAAGAACTACCACAGGACCAAGGAGAACTCTTTGTAGCAATTTGTTTACATTTCCCCATAAATGTACAGGATGGACATGAGATCAATAGGTTTGATTAGCCTCCCGGTCAACTTCCTATTCGGTAATTCGAAAAGGCTATGACGTGAAGAATGACTAATAGTACTTCCCTGTCCCCTTCCAAATTCTGATACCATCCACCCCTGCCACAGTGACTCGCTGTTACTCCTGAGGATGTTAGATCCCTCAAGTGTGCCGAAATAGAAAAAATACTGATAACGACTGCCTATTTGTAGGCACTCGAGATTCTCCAACTGTGAGAGGCTAACTTGCCAGATTCTAGTCACTGGACTTGCTGTTGGGTTATTCGGCTGGATGGTGTATGGATTTTGGTTACATGAGGAATAAGACCTAGAACTCAAGAGATTCCTCCAAGGAATGCTAGGTTAGACCATACAGGACCTTTAAAGGGTCCTGAAACACCCTAAACCTACAACTCCCTTTATAACTTCAGAGAAAGTACTGAATTGGTAAAGTCATTAAATTAGACATAAGGATGATACCAAATACTAAAAATTTGTAGATACTGTAGATACCTTACCCCAAATCCTAGTGCCCATCTAAGAATTCTCATCCACTCATTCAGACTGGTCATCTCTCCATTCAATAAGTCACATGATAATTACCCACCAGAATCCTATAGATATAGTAATAATGGACATCTTTACATCATTAAGTTACTTTTCATCACTGGGGAAGACTAGTTCGTCTTTCCTCAGGGCATCCATAACTGTGCTTAAAAATCCTGGAAGTTTCCAGTAAACCTATTTTTTAAAAAGGAAAAAAAAATTGAAACATGGCCTATAGCTATGTCATTTGTTATAGTTTCCCACTATGAACTGTAGTAATATAGAGAGTAGTGAGTTTCTAAATATAATAAACTTTTTTTTGGAAATATAACTTTTATGTTTTAAAAGTAATTCATGTTATTGTAGGAAATTTGGAAAATAGAAGAAGGAAGAAAGAAGAAACAAATCACACATAATCCCACCATCCATAGATAATCACATTAAACATCTTGTGGTTTTTACTTATCTTTTTTTAAAGTACAAATAGCACCACTAACTTATTTCTTCATACTCATAAAGGAGCAGTGATACGCATAATCTAAAAATTGCTTCTACAGTGAACTGCAGAATAATTAAGTGGTTTAGTTGGGGAAAAAAATATTCTGATTAGCTAGAAATTCTGATAAAGTATACAATACATAGATAATTGGTTTTAAAGGATTTGAACATTATAAACTCTGTTGAATATGATTTAATATTGCAATGTTTGAAAAAGGCATTTTAGGTTTTAATAATGACCATAGGACTCCAAATATAACAATTATCATTCTAAACATACTGAATTTCCTCATTAATGGCAAATTCCAGTAAAAAGAATGCTAGCTAAATCAGCTCTTGCCATATTTTGATTAAGTCGAAAGGTAAATTAGTTTATATGCCCTAAAAACATCCAATTCAACTGAAAATGAGGAAAGGACATAAACCCTGAGCAATACTGCACCTTCCTCAAACTTTTAACCCTGCCTCTAAACTACTCCCAAGTCCATTCAGTTCTCTCCATTTCCACTAATCACCCAGCCTAACCCAGCCCTCATCTCTTGCTTGGATTACACCAACAGTCCCAGGTGGCTTCCTGTTCCACCCTCGCCCTGCTGTAACCCAGTTCCCACAGGGAAACCAGAGTGATCATTTTAACGTGCAAGTCTCATCACATCCCTCTTTTGCTTCACATCCTTCAAAGGCACGTGCATTAAACCCAAGCATCACCTTGGCCCTGGAGGCCTTACAGAATCTGGCTACAGCCTCTATCGCCTATCACTAAGCCCACTCCTCTCCACCCCCAGGCCCTGCTGTCTTCTGCTCCTGGAACACGTCAGCCTTGATCCCACTGCAGGGCCCTTGCCTTTCTCTTCCCTCAGCCAAGACCTCCAGATTCTCCCATGACAACTGGCTCCTTGTCATGCAAGTCTCAGTTTAGATGATATTTCTTCAAAGAGGTCCTCCCCTAACTAGCCATCGAACCTTGTCCCCCATCACCTCCCAGTCATTCCTTTCACATCATTTTATTACTTTTACAGCACTTCTCACTATTCAAAATCCTCTTATTGCATACTTGTCTTCTATGTGCCTCTCCAGCAACTATACAAACTTCATAGGAGCTTAGACCACAACTTTCTTATTCCCTGTGGTATCCCCAGAACCTAGAAAAGTTCCTGGTACCTAATAGACACCTGATAAATATCTGCTAAAGAAGGAATGAATCGACTGCGCAAATATCCCTGATGTACACTTTAAGCTATTACCTGTCATTTTCATCTCAGCGTGACTGAATTTCATTCAGAGTTTATTCCTTGGAACAGATTTGCAAAGAGAAAAGACCAACAAAGTATATTATGTGTATTCCTCTGTGATGCTGAGCAGGGAGGGGGGGTGCAATGTAGTAAATGGTATGTTGCCAAGGGAAGGGAGTGGGTACAGAAGAGGTCGGCTGGGGCCATAAATGCAAACGTCTGCTTCGCAGTTTAAAAAGAAAAGAATTATGTTCAGCTTCAGTGTAGAAGCAAGTTTTAGATTTCTGCTTGTCACTGCTCCTTTATGAGTATGGAGAAATAAGAGTTAGTGGTCATTGCCCCAGCACTATAATACGTCATTTGCTGTAGTCTCCCACTATGAACTGTAGTAATAGAGATTAGTAACTTTCTAAATATAAGGACCTTAAAAAAATTTTTTTTTCCTGATTATAAAAAGGAAATTCATGCCTGGCAGGGAATTTGGTAGGGAAATGGGTACAGAATATGCAGGTCGAGGTCAGTAAAGGCAAACTTCTGCTTCACAGTTTTGACATGGGCCTGCTGCTTGCAGAAACCTGCGTGGTTTCCCAGGGTCTGTCTGGCCTGCATTTTTTGCGTGGTCTCACAGCAAATGACTCGCGTTCGGGTACAGTCTGGAAATCCCAATACTGCTTCTCTTTCCCTTCCTTCCTTTCCCCTCCT